ATTCAAAAATAAAATCAACGTAGCTTTAAAGTTACAGGTTGTTTGTAACTTTGTGAAACAGAGATACTGAGCTACAAAAGTGTTGTGTATATGCAGCCAAATCTTGTGATTTGTGAAGCCTTGAACAGTCCAGAGATTTTTACCCATTTTTTGAAAAAATTCATCTTATAACTGAAAGTCTGTACCCTTTACCAACTCTCCCTATTCCCCACCCCACTCATTTTGCTACTCTCTGTTTCTGTTTCTACAAGTTTGACTTTTTTTTAGATTCCAAATATAAGTGATACCATGTGGTATTTGTCTCTCTAACTGGCTTTTTTCACTTAGTATAATGCCCTCCAGTTTCATTCACGTTGCAGCAAATGACAGGATTTCCTTTTTTTATTTTATTTTTATTTATTTATTAAATATATCTTTATTGATTTCAGAGAGAGGAAAGGAGGGGGAGAGAGAGAGAGAGAGAAACATCAATGATGAGAGAGTCATTGATCAGCTGCCTAGCCCGCAACCCGGGCCTGTGCCCTGACCGGGAATCGAACCCCAATCTCCTGGATCCTAGGTCGATGCTCAACTGCTGAGCCACGCCCGGCCGGGCAGGATTTCCTTTTTTTAAAAGGCTGAATAATATTCCATTGTGCGTGGGTATATATATCCACTAACATCGATCCTTCATCCACTTATCCACCAACAGACACTTAGCTTGTTTCCTATCATGGCTATTGTGACTATGCTGCAATTAACATGGGGGTGCAAGTATCAGAGAGAATGGTTTCATTTCCTTTGGATATTTACCCAGAAGTGGGATTACTGGGTCATGTGGTAGTTCTATTTTTAATTTTTTGAGGAACCTCCACGCTGTTTTCCATAATGACTGTACCAGTTTACATTCCCACCAACATGAAGAAAGGTTCCCTTTTCTCTACATTCTTGCCCACACTTGTCATCTGTCTTGCTATGGAAGCCATTCTGACAGGTGTGAAGTGAAATCTCACTGTGGTTCTGATTTGCATTTCCCTGATGATTAGTGATGGTGAGCACCTTTTAATGGACCTGTTGGTCATCTATATGTCCTTTTTGGGAAAATGTCTATTCAGGTCCTTTGGCCATTTTAAAATTGGGTTACTGGTTTCATTGCTTTTGAGTTGTATGAATATTAACTCTTCAACAGATCTGTTGTTTGCAAACATTTGCTCCCAACTCATAGGTTGCCTTTTCATTTTATTGATGGTTTCCTTTGCTAAGCAGAATCATTTTTAAATTATGAATGATGTGCACTTTAGCTTCTGCATAGTGCTTTTTGGTTCTCTTGCAGCCCCCACTGAGACTCTCTCCTTAACTCTGCCAGCTTTGAGAGTAGGCCTAAGACTCCCAGCCAGGCCCTGGCACCTGAGAGGCACTCATGGACTATTTATTGGACTAGATTAATGAATGAATCCAGAGGCAGTGTTCTCTGGAGCTGGACTTCCTGAGTTCTAATCCCAGCCTTGTTACTTATTTGCTGTGTGACCTTAAGAACATTACTTCACCCCACTGTGCCTCAGTTTCCACTTATGCAAAATGGTAATAAAAATAGTCCTTCCCACTTAAGGTTGCTATATGGGTTAGATGAACTACAGTTGATCCTTGAACAACACAGGGTTTCGGTCACTGGTCCCCACAGTTGAAAATCCATGTATAAATTTTGACTCCCCCAAAACTTCAGTCATCCCTTGGCATCCGAGGGGGATTGCTTCCAGAACCTCCTGTGGATACCAAACTCCATGGGTGCTCAAGTCCTTTGTATAAAGTAGCATAGAGCAATGCATACAGCCAGTCCTCTGCATCTGCAGATTCCCAGCCACAGCTGGTCAAATCTGTGGATGCAAAACCTGGGGATAGAAAGGGCTGATTTTGTATTTACTGAATAGAATCCACATATAAGTGGACCTGTGCAGTTCAAACCCGTGTTGTGCAAGGGTCATCTATAATTCATTTGCACCTAGGACCTGGCACAGTGTGAAGACATGAGACATATTAGCTCTTCAAATTCCTAAAAGTACAGAGCTGACTGGTGTGGATCAGCAGTTGAGCATCAACCTAGGATCCAGGAGTTTGCAGTTCAATTCCAGGTCAGGGCACATGACAGGGTTGCAGGCTCGATCCCCAGTAGGGGGCGTGCAGGGGGCAGCCGATCAATGACTAATCATTGATGCTTCTACCTCTCTCTCCCCCTCCCTTCTTTTCTCTGAAATCAATGAAGATATATTTTAGAAAAAAATAAAGGTATAGAGCTCAGGGACAGTGGCGTTGTGAGGGACTGGCAGCAAGGTGGAGGTCCCAGGAGTGTGTGGCACAGACACCTAGAAAAGTGGGCCTTGCTAGGGGCAGGAAATGGCTGACTGTGGCAAGTGCCCTCATAATAAGTCAGAGGAGAGAGTCGAGGTGAAGAGGTTACTGATGATCTTGGTCAGGGTAGTTTGAGGGGAGTGACAGGGAAAGACACCAGCAAGCCCAAAATCAGGGAAGGAGTGGGAGGTGAGAAAGGAGTGAGCCAGGGAAGACAGCTCTTGAGAGGAATGGCTGAGATGGGGGGAGAGATGCAGGGAGACTCCGAGGACAAGTGAGAGGTATGAGGCATTTTATCTTAACTCATGAGACCCTGAGCTTGCCTATTTATTTATTTAAGTTCTGGCCATCTTTTTTTTTTTTTTTTTTTTTATTTTTTTTTTTTTTTTTTTTTTAGGGG